GCATCGGAGATTTGACCTCGTACAAGTTCAAAACCGTGCTACGTATAAAAAACGTGGAAAAATGGCAATCAACGACGAAAAGGGCAATAACCATCGCAAAAAGAACCTTCTGTTTCTAACCTTATGCGCATGGCATACCGAAACGCAAATTGGTTGATAGGCAAATTTCGTTGAAGTGAACAAAAAGAGACATACTGTTTAAATTAAAGAATCTGACACAATTGATTCGATTGACAGACAGAGAGAGAAATACGATCAAAATTACTGATACAGGTGTTAGTAAGAGCTCTAATTTTTTTGAATATCGCCGTGTGGTGAGCTATAATCGCGATCGTATAACGATAATCATTGCAATTAAGTGGCCTGAAATGCTGCTAAGGTCATCGATAATATTGTAAGTCTCATTATTTAATTCGCAGTCGACAAACGGTGTACCTGATTCACTCGTACAGAGTATGTAAATTTCAAATGCTCGTCGCTGTAGCAGTTTTTTTTATTATAATGTTCGGATCTTTTTTCTTCTTCATTTATTTTTTCATTCAAAATATTTATATTTTAACATTTTCACGATGCTATGTTCGATATATGTGGCAACGATGATGTTGTTTTATGTTTTCATACGTGATGCTTAGATAATCTCTTACATGGTTACTGAATGCTTCAGAGAAAATCTTGGCAAAGTCATTATTTTGTTTGCATAGACGTGACCTTAAAAACAAATTCGCACAACGAAACGCCCTGTTCAGTCGAAAAGCATAAAACTCATTCGGTTGGTTTTTTTTTTCGCTTCTTCTAATACGACTGTCAACATTTATGGTTAACGAATATGTTATGCGAAGAGACGCTGCCGCTTATTGGCTTATTGAATTGATTGAAACATCACGTTGATTTCGAGTGATTTCTTCGTGTCACCTTTCGACTTGTATTATATCTTTAAATTCACAATATTACCCATATAATTATGAAATGGCCAACTAAATAAAACAAGAGTCTTAAAGCCATCTTATCGCATTCATTTTTTTACTTTTAAAACAAGTATTTTCGATTTTTGAAAAAAGAAACGATTGACATTTCAAATAAAGTAGCATGTCAACTTTGCTATGACTCGCACGACTAGAATTTGTGTATGACTCGAAATAGAAACATTTTTTTCTTTTAGTCAGCTGGTGTTGTCATGTTCTTATACCGTGCCGTAGAAGGAAATGGAAACTTCCATATCGCCATATGAACATCAATAATCTTCAATATATTATATATTTTTTCCATTTTCTCTCTTTCTCTGTCTCTCTAACTCTCGCATTCTATCTTGGCTGACATCATGAAATGTAATAAATTAAAAAAAAACCGAAATATGCGCATGTGCTGCAGCAAAAAAGGGCTATGAAAATCACTCTATTGGCACTGTGATCAAACGATCAACTGGTAATTAAATCCAAGCCTCCATTACAACCACGAAGCCCGCACCATGATCGTTCTATTTAAACTGTTTGTTTCTTCCTTATTTTTTTGCCATCTTTCGCTATGAAATTGATATGGTTTTAATTAGTTTCAATAATAATCCAACGTTTCGCTATGAATACGGACACGCTACTATTACCAATCGACTGTTTTGTTTGAAGGGTTTCTATCCATTGTACACGATCAACTCTTATTTCAATATTCTCGTTTCCTGGAATAAAAGCAAAACGAAACGAGCATATACACAGATAAAATAATTCATTATCGTCCACAGCCACATATATGTTCGAGGATTAAATGGTCGGTTATTTCCCTCTCGCCAAAACAATGAACGGCATTTACTTTCAATTTAAAAAAAATTGTCAATTAAAATTCATAAGCATGTCTTAAATGCCACTTTACAATCAGACATTTTTTTAAAAATACATTGTTGTTGTCGCATTTCGTCAATTCGAAATTGAAGTTCACAGCTCATAAATGAATGTATTATTTTGAAAAGATCTGCTACTAATTCTGAAATTACGTCAACTGATTCAAATATTTCGATTCAATTGTATTCAAATTTCACCTGTTCGGTTGCCAATCAGCTGAGAATTTCAACTAAAATGTGCTATGTAATATTCTTTGATACATTCTACCTAGCTACAATACCTTTTATCATATTTCAAGCGAGACCAAATGAAAAATAATAATAATAGTAATACGCAACTATGAATTACCAACTTGACACGAGACAACTACACAATGTAGTATGTGCTCTATGTGTTGATTTTTTTCCTTCTTGAGAATAAATGCTCAAGTCACATGATATATGCAAAGCAGTCTATCTATTTGTCGATCAAATTAAAGTGAGCGATCGTATTTCACATAAAGTTCCTTGAAATTGGTTTTGGGTGGAATCGTTTATGAGCGCTTAATGTCGGTGTGAATCCATCCACTTTTCACGTGATACGACCTCAAATGCATACATTGTTGTTTGCTGTTTTTTTTTTGTGTAACATTCATTCCATCAAGAAGAATTTGATGAGTCTTTCTATCTCTCTCATTCTCTCGTTGAGTCTATCTTAATGTTTCCTCGGTAATTGATCACGATGGTTTATATAAGTAATAAAAAGAGAAATCGTTAAAAACAAAATTTTGCGTCACATGAGCTTTGCTGTGAGATACGTTGAGCTTAGTAACATGGCAAAATGAATAATTTTAATTTCCAATTTGTTCCCTTAAAATGTTCTTTGCAGTTTTAATTTGTTTTTATGTGAAAATTCGCTGTGTTTTGCCACTTTATGGGCACGTGGATTGACTGTGCTATCTGAACATTTGTATGTCATGTCTGACTATCTCATATTCATTACAAAACAAAAAACAATTACAAAGTAACCAATTAACAAATCAACCTGGACTAGTATCAATATGAAACTGAATTCGTATACGTATAAAGTTCTCATTTATTTTTGTTCTAAGCGATTAAGTGCTTTGAATGCAGAGCTAGACATTTTTCTTCTCTTTTTTTATCACGTCATCGAAGTCCGCGTGTTTCGTGCCAATGGATTTGAGAGCTCGTTAGTCTTAATTAAGATTCATTAAATCAATATTTCACTTTTATATCATCGATCGTATCTATCTCTCTCTCTGCCTTACCTTGCCTCTGTTCAATTCTTTCAGTACTGTCGAAATTGAAATGGGATGACAACTGAATGCGTCAACCACACATAAACTATCTTATTGCCGCGCGCATCCATTACGTAAAACTCTCAATTAGTTTTCATAGCGAAACAAGCAAACTCAACAGAATATCAATTGATACATTTGTATAAACGATATTGAATGCTCGACTGGTTCTAACTGGTAACAAAAAATAATTAATTGAATAGAGAGCATCAATTGCAAAAAGAAATAAAAATCGGCGAACTACAAAAAAATTCCAAAATGTATTCAAATCAGATTACAAACATTTCAATTATTTTATTGCGAAGAAATAAAATGACGGTATTTTGTTTGTCGCGCAATAATATTTCCATTTGGTTTTACATCAACAACGTCATGAATTGAATTTATTGTGCACAATATAAGTAAAAACGTAACAGATTTTTTTGGTCGGCAACTTTTGTTTTCGATTTTTCCATTTCACATATTTTGCGAAACAAATTGATCGATAACTGCATAATTCAATACGATTATCGCTGACACGATGATGCTTTGATTGATTTTTAGGCGGTTATGGTAACCCAATTACCATTACATCTAACCTCATAAAATAATTGCGGGTCTATAATTTATTTGCACTCAATTCCAGTACATTGATAATGTAGAAACCTGCTACTGCCAGCTGATTTAAGATATTTATCATAAATTTAAATAGTGGCACAGAATATTCAGTGAATATTGAAGGCGAAAGAGAGTGTATCTCACGCGCAATCAAAGGACAAACAAACATGCAATCATTTTTATCTGGAAATTCATCGTTTTATTCGTTTTTTTCTTCTTCTTTGTTTTCAAATTGTTTATTGTTTTGTGTTTTGCATACGCTACGTTATACTTTACCGCAAATGTGCGCATGTGAATTTAACTGTTTAACATACCACAATAGAATTGGTTATCACTCCCTAAACCTTCAAACTGAATTTTAACATATATATATATATATGTATATAAATATGATGGTAGTATTTCTCATTACGAACATATGTGTTTGCTGCCGTCGCACACGTCAATTGAATCGATTGCAAAAGAAACCGATGCTTACCAAACTTTTCTGTGAGCACAAGATAAACTAAAATTTATTTGAATTTTAAAAATGATGTTCAATAATAAGAAAAAAAGATGTGTATAGGGTGTTTCTCACAAGCGCCTGATATTAATTTAAAGACCAAAAAATTCTATATCAATTTATGGCATTTGATGAAGCGATATTGATATTAAGACTTCCCGAAGCAAAAACCATGGTCGTGACGTTTAAGTTTGAATATTAATTCGCTTCACTTTGAAAATGCCATCGAATTTTGCGCACTTAAAATTGAAAGTAGGCACTTTTTGATTTATACTCTGAGAAGCACACTAGCTCTACAAACATGAAATTTTTGTACACCTGCATATACGTACAAATTTCATTCAATGACGCGAATTTTGAACGGGAACAAAATACGCCGCAAATTTTAGACTTTGAGTTGAATTTATTTGAAGAAAATTCATTAACACTAGACATTTTCGGGAAGCTATACGTTTTTTTGATTCGGGCCAGTAAAGAATCATAGCAATGTTACACATGCCAATGTTATGAATGAAAATGTGATTTACTTCAAAAAGTAGTTGATACTCAGAATTACTCGGAAATATTCTCAAAATTTCGCACACATTTTCATTTCTGGAAATATTATCCAATGGATTGAAAAATGTGCACACTGAAATGAAATAATAAAACATATTTATTTATTTTGTGTTAAATATTTATCAACACCCATAGCATAGAATGTTGTTTTCTTTCAAAATATTTCGTGAAATATTAATTTTTTCCCTTCTTTCATTTTCTTTTGTTTTTTTTTCAGGCACTGAAGAGTGTCCAAAGAAGTCTGTGGTGAATCGCGTTGCAAGCCAATTGCAGAAAGCGCTATGTGAAAAAGGCATTGCGTTTTTGGTAAATCACGGAATCTCGGAAGAAAAGGTACTTTCATAACAATAATCGAGTATAGGAAACGTGAAAACTAAAACGAATTCAATCATTTTAGCTGAAAACTGCTTGGTTGCATTTGGATGATTTTTGTAAATTGCCCAACGATACCAAGGAGTTGTATATGCGTAAAGCGCCCGATAATCATGGCTATATCAAACCAAGCCAGGAACGTTTTGATGGTACTACGCCGGAATTGCGGCATGCATTTAATATATGTACATTGAATGCGGCCATATTGCCTGAGCAACCATTACCTGGTTTCAAAGAGCACATCGCCGAATTGGCTAACGATTTTAAGCACTTGTCTGCTTTATTGTTGCAAGCGATTGCTATTGGTCTTGGTGAGTTGTTTATTTTGATTAAACGATTCGATTGAAACAAAAAAATAATAATTTTCGTGTTTTTTGTTTTCCTGATTGATTGATTTTGTATAGATTTGCAATCAAACTATTTCCTCGAAAATCATTCCCATATGCTTTCTGGTAATCATGACAATGAAACAACGTTGCGTCTATTATACTATCCACCTGTCATAAAGGAGGATGACAACAAATGCGAAATGACAAAAGGACGGTGCAAGTACAGCCAACAACGCTGTAATGGAAATGGTGGCATTGATTTAGTACCACCGCGTGATGTGAAAACGGAAAAATCGAGAAAGAACTCGGACACCGATACAGACGATGAAACCGACGATACCGATGACAATAACGGAAACATAAGTGATCATTCGAAGTCATCGAGATCATCACGTTCGAGTAGCGAAAAAGAGTTCAACGTCACCCGTTGCGGTGCTCATTGTAAGTGTGATTGCACAATTGACACAAAAAATAAATATTTTCATGATTGATTTATATTACAGGCGATTACGGTACATTCACATTGCTGTCGCAAGATTCTGAAGGTGGTTTGGAGGCTAAATTGCCCGGTTCAACGAAATGGAAACGTGTCGGACATCTTCCAGGAGCAATTCTTATTAATACTGGCGAAATTTTATCGATATGGAGCCAAAAACGTTATCCAGCTTTATTACATCGCGTTATCATTCCGGAACAAGAGAATGTTCGTGTGCGTGGCCGACATTCGATGGCATTTTTCTGTCACCCAGGTAAAAGGAATTTTCAAACATTTTCTCAAATCAACAACGAAAATACATTAATCCCTTTGCATTTTCTTGATTCACCTCTCTACATTTTTCTTTCTCACACAAACAGATAACTGTACTTCCATTCAGCCTCTTGATATTCCAACCATCGAAGCACCAATTTGTGATAAAACGAAGAAACTGAAAAGACGTTCATTTAAGGCTGCTAAAGATAAGTAAGTATAATATGCAATAGACTTTATTCGCTTGCCGTCTGGCATAATGTGAGCACCGTGTACATTCGAGATAAAACAAGTGAAACACGGTTTCGGAGTGGTTTAATTTTTCACTGTATCGTGTTGATCAATTAAAATATAACTATTGCGACAAATAAGTCCCACCGTTTCTGAGTTCACTTCACACCAATTAGTCACACTCTTATATTACAATGCCACGTAATAACGCAAACTGACATAAATTCACCGACTTACCGTCAGTTTTTTTGGGGGACTTTCATATTATATCTGATATGATAAACGATAATATAAATGCCGCATATGATATAGAGATTGCATCGTTTCACCTTCACATGGTGAAATAGGTGAAACATCGCGCCGGTGTAAGAACAACGAAAACGTGTTGTTATTGTTCACACTCAAAAAAGATTTTTCGCAATAATTGCTTGTATTACTCACATCCAACGAATTTGTACACACAACTGTCCACTTGATACATCTGACTCATTGACAGTCATGCACGGCTTGCGCTCTGTTGTTATATTTATTTGTTGTCATTGGACTAATCAATGAATTACCATTTCCTCTTTTTTTTCGTTTTTATTTGCAGAGTGTTTACCGCTTATCAATTGCTACAGGAAAAATTCCGACAAACTTACGTTTCATAGAACGGGACCGTGTACTTTGGGACCGTGGAAAAAAGCATTTCATCTTTTGTCATCAAAATTCGTACTCATTGTTAACATAAAATAAATCACAACTCGTTCGAAATGTTTAAACCAACTATATCGACAGTCAAATAATCTCGTTATCTCGAAAACCCGTCAAATTTAATTCAAATATCTATACCATTAGTGTCACCCGAGCACACACTTCAAATCCATCAAAAGCAACAACAGCAAAAAACAACCCTCCATTCTTCGCGTGTGTTTTATCATCCATATATTGAATATGTGTATTGTGTATTGCGTATTGCGTATTTTACGTATCCTTAAAATACCTTAAGCCATTCAATTGTGTCTTCTTTCGTTTCTTCATTTATTTTTGTATTATTTCACGACTTGAATGTTCTCTTTTAATTTTTGATCAAGCAATAAAGTTTTAAAAAAATCAATCGATTCAAGGCGGACAAATGCCTACAAATCTATATGATAAATTATGTACTTGTGATAACAAGCAAGCGAGAGAAAAATAACAAAAAAAAAATCGAGAAAAATAAATCAATTCAAAAAATAAAAAAATGTGTTTTTTTGTAAATTTGAATTTAAAATATAATTGGCGTTAACTGTGTGTAAATCAATTTTATAAGATAGGCATTGATCGCACAAGTTCAATTCACACGTGATTTATATATATTTGATACAATCACTTTACCAAGACATTTTAAGAGCGATAACTGTAATCTCTCACGAATAGACTAGTAAACTTTTGTTCACTGTTGAGATTTATTTTTGGACAATTCCGTAATATTGTTTTTATACCATAATTTGAAATTTTCTTTTCACTTCTGTAAAACTGAAGTGACAGTGAGACTTCAATAAAACTATAATTTGAAGAAAATGTGTATCTGTATCTATAATTTGAATTTTTGAAATGAAACGACAAAAAAATTCAAATTATGACGTTGGACTTTGAATATAAGTTACATCCAGAAGAAAAGGTATAGTCGCGTCGGTATAGCATTTAATCGAATTTTGCTATATTATAAACAATGAATTGTTCGATCAGACGCCTGTTTTTAGTTTATTTTTTATCATAAAAAAATAAAACGAAATCTATTCAAAAGCCCAACCAATTGTGAATGAACCATTACTTAAATATGGTAAGCAAGATTTTAAATCAACAACACTCACCGGCTGTCATGAGGGCGCCACTTTAATGAGCTCATCAAATCAAGCTGAAACCTCTGTTAATTTGACATTTGCTTTTAAATAAACACGCATTTTGTGTTGGCTATCGTATTTTATACGTATAAAACAAAATACAAATTCGTCGAATAAAACGAACACAGTAAATAATTATTTCAATTTTTTTCTGGTTTCAGTGTTAAATTCGTGGTTTCAATAAAGTTTCAACACGATATTCATTTGTTGTTACATCAAAGCATTGTAAACGTTTACTGTGCACCGAATTGTTTCAGTTGAGCTAAAAAGCAAACATTTGTAAAAACAAAAATGTATAATGGAATTGGATTGGCGACGGCCCGTGGTTCTGGCACGAATGGCCACGTTCAACGGAATATGGCCTTTGTTCGTCAAGGTAAAAAAGACAATGTAAAATATAAAACAGAAGCTGAACTATCAAAAGCAGAAGCAATAAATAATCGAGGTCCAAACGAAGAAATCCTTGAGCACGAGCGAAAACGTAAAATCGAAGTGAAAGTCTTGGAATTTGAAGAAATGTTGGAAGAACAAGATTACACGGCCGACGAAGTAGCAGCGAAAGTGCAAGCCTATCGTGAAAAATTGCTGGGTGAAAGTCAATGTGAACAATTGCCGAAAGATGAATTTGGACGATATGTCGTGCGTGACACTCATCAAATAGCTGCTGCAAAACATGAAAAGAATGCAATGCTACGTTCAGCATTTGGAATTTCGGAGTACTTTGTCGAAGGCAGTAGTTTCGATGCTGATCGAAAAGCAAAAGAGGAACTTGCTAAAAGTACCGCCCTGCAAAAGGAATTGGAAGCACAACAAGAGAACGCTGCAAAAAATAAACTCTACAAATTGGTTCGAACACCATCAAGAGAACGGGATATTGTGGCCGAAGAGAAGAATGGCCAAACAATTGATGAAAATAAAGGAGAATCATCGAAATCCGGCGAAGAGAAAACAAAACGCAAAAAGGGTGATAAAAAGAAAATGAAGTCAGACACAAGTGACGACAGCAGTTCATCGTCGGATGAAGATTCACGGCCAAAAAAATCACGTCGACGCAAGCGAAAAGATTCGAGCAGCAGTGACAGCGCGAGTGATTCAAGTGATTCCGATTCAGAACCATCGAAGAAAAAAAAGAGACGCGACCACAGTAAAGATAAGAAAAAACGATCCGATCACAGTAAAAAATCGAAGAAGCATCGGCGTCATTCCACATCGTCGTCAAGCAGTTCCGATTCAGAGTCATCGTCATCATCATCCTCCTCTTCGTCGTCGTCATCGTCAAGTAGCGACGAATCTAACAAACATAAACATCGACGACGACAGTAAATAATTTCTTAAATTCTCGCCACTTTTCACGCAACTGGACAAACGCGCTTATCTATCTCGAGTGAAGAAATCCAATCATCATTCGTATAGTCTGTTTATCAATTTCATTCTCTGTACACATATTTGCAATAAATTAAAATTAATTTAAAGAAGAACATAAAAGATTGAACTTATCTCTATCATTGCACATTAAGATAATACAAGAACAAAAATGAAATAATGCTATCTGGTAGTTTAAGAATTATGCAGATTTTCTTAGTTACACAGAGAATAAATAAAAATCGTGAAAAACATGAAAAACATGGCGTATCATTGGTAATTGGTTTAAAGTAATTGTAGCACAACGAACTAATAATAAAGTTTTTCTTTCGTTTTTCTTTCATTTTTTTTTTTAAAAAAAAAAAAAAAACACCATATGATAACATTGAATAATTAACAGACAGTGGGTTGTACTTGTTCTCTTTGTTCGACCAATTATAATTCTGTTTCGTGGTTTCGGTATCTTTATTCAATAGTCAAAACATTCGTTCTTATTGAGAAAGAGAATGAGCCATTTCACGTTATTTACGATGTGTGTTTATCGTGTCAACACACAAGTAAAGGCAATTATATTTATTGAATGACAAAGAGTTTTAAAATTGCAAGTATTCGTTGGTCAGGTGTCTGTGTGGATTGAACATTTCACATACACTGGTAGTTGATTTAGCCAGAGATTTCATTTATTCTATATAAAGAATTGTGCGCATTGATTTAATGTATTTATATTACGATCACGACTTAATTCGATTTCGGAGAGCAGAAAGTTTTATGAATTTTGGGGTAAAACATTTTTTTTTTTTTAATTTCAAACACACACCGTATTATAATTTGACGATCGACAGAGGGAGAGAAGGAGAGGAAAAGAAAGATTCTCAACGAAACAATTGAGATGTTGAACGTTACACGGTTCTGCCTCTGAGACATTCTAAGCAAATTAGTATTGTATCAAGCAACTATTAAAGTGTGTATTTTGTCGAATGCTTATGTGTAAATAGTAATTCTCAGAACGCAAACGAATCGGACAGTGTGTTTGTAATCGTGCTGACAACTTGTTTATCTCGTTTTTTTTTTGCAAATGTTTATAATACATACTAAAATATTAATGAACGAGGCACAGTGCACGTACAACGAGGAAGATTGAAAAAAAAATCGCGATCAGTAGCTTTATTGTCGCACAAGCGGACGCTGTGTGTGCGCGTTCATTGTTTCAGATTCGATTAGCATTTGATTAATATTCCATTTTTGTGTTGTTCTTACATCTCATTCTCGTTACATAAAGAATTATTGCGTAAATTGCTAATTTCATTTTGTACGCGTGTTTTCTTTATCTGTCAAATTCATCTTATGATAAGTTGACACTGGTGATGAAAGTTTTCGGGAGTATTTGATGCAAATCGTCGGATGAAACGGAAGAAAAAGAAAAATCGGTGTTATCATTTCCATTGAATTTTTCATCTGTGCGTTTATATTTTTTATTAAGAGCCCAAAAAAATATGATGTGATACCAAGGCAATGATCGATCGAAATACAAATGTGACTATAAACAAAGGAATAAATCACAATTTGATAATATTAATGCATTCTATACCCGTACCTTTCAAGTTTTACAGTGTTTTTTTTTTGGTGTCTGATTCGGATTAAATGAGCGAACGAGCAAAATAATCAATTTATTCAAGACGCAAATCAAAATGTCCGGCATAGTCTTAAGCGCTGTGGAATTAAGTTCAACAGTCAACATTGATAATGGAAAAGGTGATGGAATTGCGATAATAACTGAAACAACGACACCAAATACCACATCCAATATTCAAATCGATGATGCGATTTGTGAACACGCACAGAATAATTTGAATGATTGTTCCACAAATAGACAGAGATCATTAACGAGAAATTCAATTGGCAGCAATAATATATCGATTGTAACACTCGACGAAAATGAAAATGATTCCAGTGTTATCGATTCAGATTCAGATGTTGACGAAGTGATTAACTGTAATAATAATAATAACGAATATAAATGTTCTAGTGGAATAGTTTTAGTTAATAAAAATGTCGATCCACCAAATTTGTGCCAATCGAGTATTCTGTGCGCGAATAATGATGTTAAACCGAATATCGGAAGCATTGCGGTGCAAAATTCTTCCGATATCACATTCGGTAATAAAACTTTTTACCAGGGTCCAGTAACAATAAAACAATTTGTTTACGATAAAAACAAATGGAAGGAGACGGAACAACATGAAAACGATAATCTCGGATACGTAAACAACAGTGCCGACAACATAAGTAAACGTGAAAAGGGTAAATCACTGTAATTATACAATTTGTTAGATTAGAGCACAGGTATTACCTGATAGAAAGAGAAGAAAAGAAAGAGAAACATATAAAAAAGTAACAGTAAAATAATTGGAAGAATTTTCATAGAGACAAGTTTTCCATTTCCAAAAATATTTATCCTACGTGTAAAATGTTTGGTCAATTTACGACATTTTGACGGTATAGTATATGTGATTTTTTTCGAAGAGTAACATTTTTTTGCACACGGGAACCACAATTATCCTCAATTTTTTTTTTGTTTTCATTCGTGTCACAACAAGATATACTCGTAAAAAATGTATTTGATTTTTTTTGCGTTTGAAATCAAATTTAACCCTTAACCGGACAGGTCAGGCCTCTGAGGCCCGGTAGCAAATTTAAAAAAAAAAAGATACATAAAATCGCATAAAATATTATTTTAATCAAACAAATTGTTTTGTAATATATTCTTTCATCCTTTTACTAATCGTTGATAAAAGTTGTTTTGAATTTGGTTCCCTAAGTAGCGCTGTATTGAGGTTTGAACAACTACCGGACGTACATTTTCCATACAAATACATTTTCCAATCAAAATTTTTAAATGAAGTGCAAAATTTGTACTTAACTGACTACTGAACTGAAACTTGAATTCATCCTTTTTACAAAAAAAAATATTTAATTCAATATCTATTATGTTTATAGAATAATTTTCGTCGTATAAATTCAATGAAATTTGAAAATAGAAAAAAGAGGCCCCACTTGCCCGATAACGTTAGTATTTTGAACTACCCGGTTAAGGGTTAAAGATCAACAATGCGATAATTCTTTGAAACGATGATTCCATAATACTTGCTTTTTCGATTCATGTATTTCGTTCATAAATTCAAATCAGTTTCGTATAAATCAACAATATATCAGACCTGTGACGATGCAAAGCACAATACGTGCATGCAGCAGTGACTAATGTAAAAAAATTGTTAAAATTCGATTTCCCAATGTGTATCTGTCATATAAGCTTGCTATATGAGTGACGTTAGCAAATATAAAGTTTAATGCAAAAAAGCTGGTAAAACCGAGATTAAGTTTTAGCACACGAAACAAGTTCATCAAATTGAAGCGAATACAATGAATACAATAGATTTTTTTAAAGTTTTAATTAAATGGTGGGGAACAGTTTGTCTTCTTATAGCTGGTTTATGTTAAAGCACAATATTGTTACGTCATTTTTAATTGCATTTTCATAGACCCGAAAGAATGAGAAAAAAAATCGCTTGTTTTTGTTAATATTGAAATCATTGAAACAAGAACAAAATGTTTCAAAAATTCCAGATAATGTAGCGTTTACATTTGTCTGCTGACGTTCTATCTGCTTCAATTCTTTTCCTTCTTTTATACATTCATATTTGTGAAATCAATTTCTATAATTTCATGCACATGTAAACGCCTGTGTGTATATTCATCATTGGAAACACTTGTTAATTGTGTGTTTTGTTGTTACCATTAGATTTTCCATCTACCAAACATCCCGATGAACTGCAAAAGAAATCAAAGTGGACCAATAAACAGACGGTAGTGAGCGCTGTTGGTGCCGGATTATTAGCTTGTTCATTGTTGGCGATAATATTGACGGTGAAATTAAATAGCAACGGAACGAACAGGCATTCGACAAGTAAGTATGGTAAAAATATTAAAACCGGGCTACTTTATTTATGCTTATCAAAAATTCTTCTTCTCTTGACTGAATCGCCACTTCAATTCTGCTTTAAAAAATTTCTTCTTTCCCTGTCCAAATCTGTTAATTTGCTGACACAGAAACCACATTTTGTGGTTACTTTTTTCAGAAGAGAGAATTGGCGACGGCGATGATTCACGGTTGAATATACCAATACCATCTTCAATAGGTTTGCAAACAAAAATCATTTATTTTATCGTTTCAATAATTTAATTCGGAAAGTTACATTACAAGGGACAAAGGTCGCATAATCATTTTCAAACTAACATAATAAAAATATGTTCGGTAAATGAAAATTATCAAAATAGACACAAGATTGATCGCTGTTTTGATGTTATTACACTAATAATTAACAACGAACATGAATGATTAATATCTTTTTTTGATAACTTATCTGTAGAATTAGTGTTTAGAGTTAGTTCCGAATCATTTGCCCTTTTATAATCAAAACAGCGATCAGTCAATGAATCCAAACGAATTTCTACTAATATTGTACCAAAATTCAGATATTTGCTTCAAATATAATGTTGTTGTGCATTGTTTTAGGTTCAGATTTAATCACAGATACAGCCGGACCATTACGAATCGTAACCAGAAGTGATTGGATTGCGCAACCACCAGAACATGAGCTGGTACCTCTTGATTTACCCGCAAAACGCGTAATAATAGCACATACGGCTACCGAAAATTGCACGACACAGGTATTTAAATGGATATGATTTATCATTTCTAAATATTAAATATCGTTGCTTTGTAGGCATCATGCACATATCGTGTTCGAATGATTCAAACATTTCATATTGAGTCACGGGGATGGGATGACATTGGTTACAATTTTTTAGTTGGTGGCGACGGAGCCGTGTATGTCGGACGTGGATGGAATATTCAAGGTGCACACACAAAAGGTTACAATATAAATAGCATTTGCATTGCATTCATTGGAACCTTCAATAAAATCGAACCGCCAAAACCGCAACTATATGCAGCACAGAAAATTCTCGAAGAAGGAGTCAAATTAAAAAAATTAACATCGGATTATAGCCTTTATGGTCATCGTCAGCTAATACCGTCAGAAAGTCCTGGTCTAGCGTTATACGAAATTATTAAAAAATGGGATCATTGGACTGAAAATATTAGGTGATATTATGAAATTTAGATGTAGATATATAGGTATCGATCAATATTTTCTTTGTTTTGTGAAGAAACTCAAGTGTGCGATAAAGTCAAGGATAACGTGTAACATTTTGAAGACGTTTGATATTTTTTCTTGCAAACATTTTCTATGCAATTCTTTTTCATTTCGAAATCTCTTTTTTTTTTTTTCAATTTAGTTTGTCTTTAGATTTTTTTATTGTTACGCTTGTTTAAGACATCTATTTTTTTTAAATGTATTTTATAAATAAAATTATTGACTGAATCATAAAAAATGTTGGTGTATGTTTTCAATTGATGTTCAGTGCATGATTAAATTAATAATCTCTTCAAGTGGACCAGATCTTCATCATACATATGTTTTAACTTAAAATCTAAAGCTGTCGTTTACATTTCAACAACGGATCATTGAGAAAGATGTTTTTTCCTTGAATCAATACATTCCAAAAAGAAATTGTAACTAATAAATAAATCAATTGATATTGAATTAACGAACGAAAACAAAATGGAGCCTTTCATTACTGTGATCTACCATAATATGACAACGAAATTGCCATAAAATGGTATAAATACGATTTAGTTCACGCTTCAATTTGTTCAAGATCTGTTTTAAGGAAATAATATGGTAAGGTTATTTTAAATTCAAGTCAGTAGTCAAAATACCATTTAATACGTCTTAATTATTTATATCGACAAAATTACACAATAAATCACGTATCATCGGGGATGTACGGATGCACAAACGCTTATCTAATATTACGTCTAAAACTGAACATGGTCAATGGCGAGAGATGAGCGCAGTCAATATGATTGTATTGTGATGTCACATATCTTACAGAAAAACGCCATCTGTGTAAAACAGGCTTACTTCAATGTAAAAGTATAGCGAGGGGAAGGAGATGAAGAAGAAGGAGAAACGTTTTAGAGATATACGTTTGATTTACATTGTACTCAGCGTATTTTACGTAGATGGTGTCATAAGTATCTGTCCGAATTGCGATTGCTCTTTGATAAATGATGATCAATGATTCACACCGATTGGTTCGATGTATTTTTTAATTTGGTAATTCCCTACAGCAGGCAGGAGATTTGTATATAAATTCAGTGTTCATCACACGAATTAAAACCATTTGCGAATAAATCGTTAAAACGAAATGTAATTATAATTTCTTGGTTGGTGGTGACGGTGGCATATATACTGGACGTGGATGGGATTATGAAGGTGCCCATACAAAAGGATACAATCATAATAGCATTTCCATTGCATTCATTGGAACTTTTAACTTGGAAGAACCGCCACAGAAGCAGTTATCCGCCGCTCAAACTCTTATTGCCGAAGGTGTTCGATTGGGCAAAGTTAACAAAAATTATCATCTGTACGGTCAACGACAATTGATACTATCAGAGAGTCCTGGTCGTGCTCTATTTTGAAATCCAAAATTGGAAGCATTGAACTGACATAATCATTTGAGCTATAGCGAAATATTTCAAAGCTCTAATAAGAAACATGCTTGATACTTTATTGTGAATACAAAATTAACCTGGCTCACCATGAAGTATCAATTTTTTTCTTCATTAATAAATGAAAACTAATAAGTTTTACTGGTAGAGAAGACATTTTTATTAATTTGTAACTAGCTGTACTTCAGTTTTCTTCTTTGTTCTCGTTTAATCATATGTAATATTTTTAGACATTTTCTTTCAATAACCAATAATATGTAGTCAATAAATTGATAAACAACTGGCTCTTCTTGATATTGCGCCTTTTTGCCGCTTACAAGTTAAAACATCGCAACACATTTTCTCTAGACTTGTTATTTACAAAATTTACAATTTCCTGTAGTAATTTAATATTGAAACACAAATTCGAGTTCAATAATTGGCTCAATTTTACCGCAAGTGAGTGTAATACTCAAGCATCAACGATGGAGCTAGGAAATCATGCAGAAATCGGTAACCACTTGATTGAAGCACCAAGTGATTGGTAGCAAATCAAGTCAAAATTGCTGTTACAAATATAGAATATCGTAAGTCCAATTTAATTGAGTACTACACGTTTCAAGTTGATCATGTGTTTTTAAATCATTCATCGTGTGATCACCTTTTTTTAGATATGTGTCTGGTCTGAGGATCCAGCCTTATAAAATGAGAAAGCATGATTGAAAAAAAGAATCAAGTAGCGTACTTTTCACTTGATCTTATTTATAGTCGACTCTTTTGTGACCGACCATAATTTAAAGCATTGATTTTATCTCGTACGAACTGATAAGATAAGTCAATTATTCTTTTGATAAGAAGACTTTTGTAGCCCGTCTCAATGGTTTAAATTGCCGCTCTGTTCGCAAAATCAAATCATAAACGTTTCAACTGACAAAACAGCTGACTTAAAAAATCGACTGCATCGAAAATGTCTAACGAAAAATCAAGACAAATTAATGGTCCAACAGGTTTGACAGGTATTTTATTATTCATAAATGATACTATTTTGATGTGATAAAATAATTTCATGAAAATTTTGTTCGTTATTTAGATTACCATGTGACACTGGCCAACAATCACAAAGTGATTGAATCAAGATCGATATGGATGTTTATGATTGTTGTTTTGATTTGTACGCTCACCGGAGTTTTGTTTGGCGCATATTTAACAAAAATGATACTTCAACAAAATCCTACCGTTCAATGTAAGTTCAAAATTGTGTAATCAAATATATTTTGGTATGAAATAAAAAAAACGGTTAAATGTTCTGTTCAATTTTAGATGGAAAATCAACAGAAGATCTAAATATTATTGAGAGAAATAAATGGAATGCAAAATCTTCCCAATTTAATTTATCCGAGTTTAAACTTCCCGTAAAAAGAATTATCATTGCTTCAACAAATACAGAAAATTGTAACACAACGGTACGTGCAAGAAATAAAACGATCAATCATTTGCATTTTCTAAAAATGTCCTTTCAATTTAGACCAAGTGTATCGAAAGAGTGCAGAAAATTCAAGAGAAACACCAAACAGATGGATTGAATGATATCGCTTATAATTTCCTTGTTGGAGATGATGGTGGCATATATATTGGACGTGGATGGGAGTATCAAGGTGAACACACAAAGGGTTACGATTCAGACAGCATATGCATTGCATTTATTGGGACTTTTGATGTGTTGCAACCATCACATCAACAATTGCATTCCGCCCATGGATTAATTGAAGTTGGAGTTGAAAAGAATCACATTATCTCAGACTATGATCTATATGGCCAGAGTCAATTATTATCCAGGAATGATAATAGCCCAGGCACACTGCTATTTGATATTATAAAGACATGGTATCACTGGAAACGAGTTGCTTATTGATAAGAAAGTGGGTTGCATTTTTTCTAATAGTTTAGTAGAATTCGTTGTAAATAGTCATACATTTGTAAGTCTAGAATATGTATTGTTTTTAGAATCTTATAGGCATTAAATTCGTTTTTTATTTAAAATTAAAACTATTTGATCCATATATAGTATATATTGCATTTTGACATTTTTTGACAACAGAAAATGTGTGTATGTGTCGTCAAGTTGTCACATATGATTGCTATAAATTAAAGTTCCGATGAACATGTGTTGAATCTGTGCACAATGATTTTGTCAAGTACATTATTTTTAGCAAAGATATCGTTGAACGAGTACCTGGTGACAAGCTATAAACATAACTATACCGTTGATAACAGATTTATGACGAATAAAATCCATATGTGATATTGAGTGCAGTGACGTCGTTCAATCAGCACAGCAACACAACCGAAAATTAAATGAAGATTTCTGTTCAAAGCATAAATGGACACAGGGGGGTGTAAGCCCGGAGAACCCCCTTAAATCGTCCGAGGGACCCCTCCGACGACAGCCGAAAATTCTTTCTATTTGCTAGAGAAAGAATGTCTTGATTTGCTAGGGTTTTTTTGAGGACCCCCCTTAAATCTTTTGCGTGCCCATGTATGGTTCAAAGAAAATAAAAGTGAACTTCAAGGGAAAATACAATTTACATTTTCAATTAAGCTACTTCATAGAATTGTTTGTCGATTTTATCAGAAGATAATCGTTGTAAATTGTTGAATTTGGTGAATCATTTACGTCAGACATGTTTACAATATCGAAATTATTACCTTCTGCGTCTTATTATTCAAATTTCATACTTATCTTTAGAACATATCTTGGTAAAACGTGTTGGTTGGCATACATGTGTTTTACAAGTTCAATGTTTTTATCATCAATACCTTATCAATATTTATTTAAGTCAAACTCAGAACTTTAATTTGTATAGCTGCCAATTTAACAAATGAAAATTTCAATAAAAGTTAAGAGAGTGTAGCATTTTATAGAAACATTTTATTGTATTCGCTATTAATCATTTAATTCTCTTTTTTTCTATTTTCATTTATTTTTTTGGCATTTTCAATTATTGCTTAAAATCGGAAACATAATTGTTTGAAACATAAATTTGTATGTCACAAATATTAATTATTATAATAACAATTTTTTGGTAAAAGCAAATTTCATAATGCACAATCTTAGTTAGTTGTCTTTGTTTTTTTTTTCTTTGAAGGGTACAAATAAAGGGTAAATTCGCAACATCAATTCGAAAAAAATCCCTGTTTCTTTAGGAATTAATATATTGATTTATATGAAATCACGAGTATAGAATTGAGAATGCTTATAGAAAAATGAAATTCTGGATAGTTTCACATTTGAAATTGGCAAACAGTTAAGCATGACACGTGTTACTTCGGTAACGGGGTGCTAGTGATTACTCGACCACGCGGTAGGAGGGTGCTAGTGGTTGCTGCACCATCTATACGTTCTATTGACGATATGCCCAAAGCAGGAACTCCCATCTCGGATTGCAAATGGTCTGATTGTTGCTCGCCTACGCCCACTTTCAATAGATCTGATGTGTTTGCAATTTGTTCGACGTCCTGTAAATTATGAAAATCAATCAAACTGTTCTCTCTCTAATCGTCTTCAAAAAAAATACCAAGTCACCTTTTTATCAATCCACATTTGATAAGCATTTGGAATCGATAGCCCCTCTTGTGGATTCAGTAACATAAAAATCACTTGAATTGCGCCTGCTTTGACTTTTTCTTGTAAATAGTCGATGAAGGGGCTGATAAAAATGAAAAACAATAAAAAAATACACGCTCATAATCTCATTGAAATGAGTTTCCAAAGAAAACCAATTTACCTGATCAGTTGTGGTTCGATGATATAATCGAGGCTGTCAAAAATAAGAATGGGTGATTCCACGGTTAGATTCATGGCCAATTTTAGAATAAGAGCAGCATTGTGATGATTGTACGTTGACATCATCATATCAACACATCCAGGATTGTTGACTTGATCGTCCACCAATTGACGAATTGGTGATTTGAGACTGAACTCTTTCGGATTCAAGGCAATGCCAATTGATGAACATTTCTCAGCAATGTCGATATAATGTTTATCAAAGTCTTCAATTTTTTGCTCGAATTCAACGCAACGTTTTTGAAACGAATTTCTTTCGGCGATCATTTCAACTTGGGCAGCTTTTTTCTTCTTATTATTTTCACGTTGAATATTTTTAAAATTTTCGTCATCGTAATAGACGAAATTTTCTTTGAACAAATCAGCGGTGGAATGTAAATGCGATTCAAGGACTTTGTATGTCTCTGCGAATGACTTCGGGTTGGCATAAGTGAACTTATATACTTTTTCCGCGTTATCCAATGAAATGCAGTTATAAAAGTTGTCAGGCAATCTGTGAATATTAAATTAATTAGAAGCTTCGTCACTTCCTTTCAAGAGTAAAAAAAATAGCATGTCTCACATTTCAGCATCGAAGCTTTCTGGTGTTTCCCAATTCTTCTCCTAGAAAAAAAAAAGAGTAAATTCGATATGCAATGTGATTATTAAATAAAGCAGACCATTCGTATTTACCTTGACTTCATCCTTTAGATGAGATATGACACATTCTTTTCCTGCGATAAATGTCTCGCATGTACTTTTGTCAGCCTTCGCATATGTATTCTTCAAAAATGCAATGGCAATTTTCGAAATATCCGTTGCTTCATCTCGAATCGCATTTACCAATGATTCCTGTTCGATTTTCAAATGACTGCATTCACTCTTGTGAATTTGATATTCTCCTACCAACTCACGCAAATCTTCTTTAAGGCTTACAATTCGTCCCTGAATGTTTGCATGCACATTCGTTGTGAGTACATCTTGGTGCCGTTCGAAGCAATTCCAAGCCATCATTATAGATTTTGTTGTTTCTGCATGGAACTGATCAAAACGAAGCTCTGACATCACGTCTTTGAACTCACTAAGAAAACGACGTACGAATTTTTTTTCATTTTCATACAGTTGTGCCTGCAGATTGAGTACATCTTGATTTGATGTTGCTGCCGCTTCTTTTCTTGCAACCGAACGAACAATGCTATGTTTCTTTGCCTGAAAAATATTGCTTATGAATTAATTGTACAATCGTATTACTGTTAATTTATTCACCTGTTTCATTTTATTCACAATGTAAGTATTGCCATTGATTTTCTTTTCAACATCACATAGAGTTGATTGCAATGATGTGTTGAGTTGGGTTGAATCATACATCGATGGTTTCTCATCGGATCTTACAATATGTCCAAAGGGACAGTAAGCGGTTGGTACAACATGCGAATTGTCAACCTGAAGCACAATGCGATTTCCAATATCTTCCGGTCGAATCTGATAATTCAAAGTTGAACGTTAGCAATTGAATTTCAAAAATCATTTGAAAATATTTTTGTCCGTCCTTACCTTCCATTGGGTCTTTGTATGAATTTTGGTCATACCGTCATTGGGTAATTGATTCAAAAATGATTTGAAATTATCATCCTGTGAAATACAACAAATTTATAAACTCGTTATAATCAATCACTATGAGTGCCTGTATAGGCAAGAAAAAAGTCGCACATTGGAACACATACCACTGGATCAATGTTATTCATTTCAAAATTGTACGATTCAGCATCAGCAAATGTGGCCAATTGAAGCTTTTCAAAAACTTCATTTTGAAGTTTTCGCATGCATTTCATTATTTCTTCGCCTTCTACCGATGATAAATGAAATGCACTTGTGTCAGATGAAACGCACATTTTCATTTTTTTGAAAACATCATCTTTCAACAGTGTTTCATCGCCCAATTCTGTTGTCATCAAACTAAATTGTAAATCCTTGAGTTTGATGATCAAATCCAATTCACGGTGTTTGAATTGGGAATATTTGTTGTTGCGGAAAAATGGTTTGAAATTCGCCTTAGTCAAAACGAGAATGTCACCCTTATTCATTTCGATTTCTCTTTGAATCGATTGACCGCATTGCTGTCATGTTATTAAATATATTAATTATCTATTTTCTCTAAATTCCATTCAATCTTACCTGCGCAATAGTCGCCCAAGATTGCTTGTTCACCTCAATGCTATTGTTAATATGCTCCAACAAATTGTTTTCAATCACTTTAAACTCCTATGCGTACAAGAAAAATACCATTTACTAATTTAAAGAATATATATGCAATATTTTATATACCCAATTTTCGATCTCTTCGATTATATCTAACCGACGTTGGAAATCACCGTCACCATCGTCAACGTATCCACTGATGTTCTCCACGTTCTTTTCTAAGCCCATTTTCTCTTCAGAATGAGCGTACAACTTCCAGAAACAAAAATCCTGTTCCGCTTGTTTCTGTTGGAATAAAGAAAGGGTCTCACAATGACGATCATAATAATTGCCTCCATTAAAGATAAATACTTGTTGTTTTCGTTCTTCAGTCAGAGATTGATATGAATCTTGTGTTTTCTTAATGATATTTGCTGTCTCCTTCAATTGTGCAACGTGACGTGCGCATTGTTCAATGTTTAGATTCACGTCTTCGTAATCATCGCAACGATCCTTATGTAGCAAATGCATTTCCAAAAATGATCGTAAATCGAGATTGTTGGTGGCCAAGATATTTTTTGCACCGCCACCAAATAAAAATATCCCGTTTAATGCAAACACGTTGAGCTGTGCCAGTTTGTCAAAATATTCTTTTTGCTCGCATGCCTGATTAAATGTTATAATAATTTGGTAAATATGGCATTTAAAATACGCATTTACAAATAACACTCACTGTAAACTCATTATCAATGCCAATGACCTGTGCTTCATATGTCGTTGTGACTTCGTCCATTTCCACATTTTTAGAATGTTTGAAGCGAATCATATTGCCACCACTATCTCGCAATGTAACAATCACCTCGGCCACTTCAGCATCAGTGTCATGGCCAAAAGCAAATTGAAATGCTTCAAACAATGTACTGCGTTCTGTTTGTATTTTGAATGTGATTACAGTTTTCAATTGAGTTTTGTCTCTATCTAATTTATCTATAAATAGTTTTTAAAAAAATACTCACGATAAAAATCCCGAACACTAATTATACTGAAACCCGGTTCGTCCGGATTCCATTCAATTGTCCCCACTTGAAGATTTTTAAAGTCTACGATTTCCAATGAAATCAGTCTTGCCATTTTGACTACTTGTTGATCGAACGAAAGCCAAGATCTAACTGATGCATTCTGAAAATATCTTTGAAATCTTTAAATTGTCGTCAGCTCCTTGCACATCGCTTTCCATGCGTCAAGTTTTGGCGACATAGCAGTTTTCAAACAAAAATGAAACAACAGCGAAACATGTCGACCACACAAAAGAATTGTGAAGTTTTTTTTTGTTGAGACATACAAAATGACAACGGTTCCATGACAAAGAAATCCATTTTCATCGCGAATAAAATGAATGACTATGTTTCTTTAATGAGCTCAACGTCAGTGTAATGTGATGTGATTCCCAAATTTTATTTAGTTTTGATGAAACGACAAACGTCAATTACCATTCAACGGATTAAATGTTTTCATATTAAGTTTATGTATTCCAATGATGGAGCGCGTTCAGCAGCAGAACTTGTCGACTCAGCTATTTTTTAGCATAAATACAACAGCGCAAAAACTTTATCTGTAAATAAACAAATTTTGAGAAACGAAATCGACTCTTTGTATTGATTTAAAGTTAGAAATAAAAGTCAGCGTTTCAAATGCCACTTTTCATGTGTCAACACACAACGCTCACTTCCATATAAAGTGTATGTGTTTATTTATTTCGGTGCATTTTGTAGTCGTTTAAAAACATAAAAATTCTGTATACGTCTTATTGACATGAAAAACATGATTGTATTCAAAAGGGTTTTATTTGTTTTTTTTTTTTTCAGATTTGAAATGAAACGTCTATAATCTTGACGTTGACTTGACCATTGTGGAGACGAAACATATCAAACAGTTCATTTTGAATCTAAGAGTATTGCAAAATCAGCAAAATAAAGAAGCCTATTAATGTAGCATTTTAAAATTTTCCTCCCAATTTGATTGAGTTTTTTGTTTTGATATACCTGTAATATGGAGATTATTGAAGTACGGTAATGGAAATTCGTTTGCATATACCACAATGAAATCAACTACATTTTAGCAAATAAAAATATTTTTAATCATTTTTTTTTTATTTTTTTTGATAAATCTCTGATGAAAGAAAATAGCATTCTGGACACTAGAAACCAAGTACCGATTTAAAAAAAAAAACATATAATCTTTTTTGCAATGGTTGTAGAGTTTGACCATTGAACTATCAAAGTGAAAGTTTTCGTTTCATCTAAATTTTTAAAAAACATCGTCTACTTATTGAAGAGCTGTCGATACTTTTGCGGACAAAAAAGTGATTTCAAAAACAAAAATTCAAATATAATAGAATATGATGTAATTTAAAAATTTCAATTTCATTCTTTAAAGTGCGAGAATATCAAAACTATTTTCAGAAGAAATGTGGACAAATTGTAGCACACAAGTTGCGACCATAAAATTCAACCAAATACAAGAATGTAGTTGCTTATTGTTTATTATTCCAATATTAATATGAATATCAAAATGAATATGAACATTAATTACTTTGTTGTCTACTGAGGGACGATTACAGCAAATAAAAAAATATTTTACGCACAAAACATTACAATTGAATGAGTTGGAATTAAAGTGACCTGGAAGCTCAGTTGACAATAAAACAACAACATGATATTTTTTTCTTTGTATAGCTTATTTTAGTTACTTCATATTGCTCCGTTTTATTGTCAACTGAAACCGTAGGTCATTTTAATCCCAACCCATTCAATTCATTCAAACTTTTCAAGTGAAAAGTGGTACGTTACGAACCGATAAATGATCATTCACCACTTGTTTTGGTTTTATACTTGATCATTCACCGACAGTCGGGATGTAGCGTTTACATTTGTTTTTTCCCTGTCATTTATTATCTATAAGCAACTACAGCAACTAAAATGGAACTTCTTTGGCCGTAAATAGGAAATTTATACCGCTATTGATATTTTAAACACAGACGAATGCATAGAAATTGGACACATTGTAATGTAAACTTTTGCCATAATAATATGTATTAATATATTTTTTTCATTGTCGCGTTAACTTGCAGTTGAGCGCGCTTATAGATAAGGTTATTATGATGCCATATTGCTGGTGCCAACTGAGATAATTTGCCGGTTAATCCCCATCCACTGAGCCGAATTTGTAGCTTAAATAAAAGCGATGCTCAGAAATTTAAACAATTGCGTTCTTAAGGCGAAAGAGAAATAACTGCACCGCAAATGCAAATTAACGGAAAGACAAGCCACGATAGAATCATGTTAAGTACGTATCAATCGCAACTGTTTTTTATAAAATATTTCGAAACAATAAATGAATAGTAAATTTTAAATTAGAATTTATTTGATATAGATTTTAATTGTTCCTTCATTTCTTTTTGCGAATGTATGTATGCGTATTTCTGTGCATTAATTAGCTTCTACTCGAAGAAATTACAATGAATTCCAAGCCAAATGGCTGTGGGTAATGGTAATTGTGGTGTCCATCCTCTCTGGAGCATTGTTTGGTTCACTTTTAACATCGGCCATATATGCACGCAATCGCTGGTATGCAAACAATCAACTCTCCGATCATCGTAAGTATAAAAACTGAATTGGTGCGATATTTGTGATTTGTTTTGATATTTATTAAAACTATTGTGAATAATTGTATAGTTTCAGAAACAGATTTCATATCAGATGTGGCCGGGCAGCTAAAGTTCATTTCGCGAAATAATTGGATTGCACAACCGCCCGAAGTGGTGCCAATCCAGCTTGAATTACCATCAACTCGTGTAATAATCGCGCACACAGCAACGAAGAACTGTAGCACACTGGTAATTAAAATGAACGGCAAATCGATAATTCATTCACACCATGTGTTCGATTTTGTTTTCATTTTTCTTTTAGGCCAGCTGTAATTTGGTGGTGAGAAGCATTCAAGCGTATCACGTTGAGACACTTAAAATGGATGATATTTCGTATAATTTCTTGGTTGGTGGCAATGGAAATGTATACATTGGTCGCGGCTGGAACATTCAAGGCAAACATACGAATGGCTTCAATGAAAAAAGCATTTGCATTGCGTTCATTGGAAAATTCACAGACGAAGCACCACCAGCAAGGCAATTAGATGCAGCACAACAATTGATCAAAGAAGGCGTCTCATTGAAAAAAATTGCGGATAACTACAATCTATATGGTCAACGTCAACTAAAAGCAACCGAAAGCCCTGGCCAAGCATTATTCGAAATAATAAAAACATGGGATCATTGGACCGCAGATATTAAGTAAAAAGCATCACATTCTCTATATGAATATACAAATTTTTTAAATTACATTACATTTTTTGAGATTATAGGTCGAGAACAATGTACCATTTTTTATTAGTTTTTGTTATCATTAATATATCAATTAAAATACTCGAAGGGACATAAAAAAAATCCCTCACACAAAGTGAGATATAATATATGTATATAAGTTGTTAAGTTGTTTGTAAATTTTCACTTTGATTTTATTTGCAACATCCATCCTATTATAAATAAGACTGTTAGTTCCAAATCAAACCCATATTTTAATCAACCAACACGCTTATAATAGAAATAAAAACGTTTTGTTTTAGCACAATAAAACCAAATCAAACTACTACTACTTGATTCTTGATACGTCGAAAATAATGAATGAAACGTATTTAAAAATGGTCAAAGTTTATCTGATTGGAATACTTGAAAGAATAAAATCGGACAAAATCAGATCGAAATACGATCGCATTTGATGACATGCGGTGAATGAATCGATTTTATTGTATTTTTTCAAGGTTTATTTATCCAGTATATCGGCATTTCTTAAATACCTAGTGAAAATAAATGAATTTTTTTGTTATCATTTCAGGTCTTCGTTTTGAATAAGTGAGTTTTGTTTTAAATTTGAATAAGTCACGACATGAAAAAAAAAATTATACAATTAAAATGAAATCAGTGATACTGATTCAGTGTGAAAGCATTTCCGTAAAAAGTTGTTCTAACGTACATCGTTGCAATCAAAACGTAAGTAATTTACTTTTTTTTCACTATGGGCAACACCATTCAAATTAGCTATGAAACGTCAGTATGAAATGTCAAAGCGACGGCTCGTTTCAATTGGAGTTGATGTTATTCACTGTGTGATACATGAATCAGCGTCAAGAGTTAATCAAACACGGTAAGAGAAGGAGATTTTTGTATTCATCAACAAAAATGGTGTTTTTGCTTTGAAAAATAATCAAAGTTAAAGGATGACCTTCAATCACTAAGTGGACAAAGTACAACAGTAATATTAACATCTTCGTAGTGTAAACGTCACTGGCTGGAGTAACAAACGGCTTAATTATTTTTTGTGTGAAAACCAGATAGAGGAAGAGACAGAGAAAACAATGGCAATGTTTCCGTAAGTACTGATCACTATCATACGGCATCATTAATAAGAGATGTAAATGATTAATTATTTGGCATGTTTGATTTCTTCTACAAAAGCAGTAGTGAGTTCATATCGATCAAAGATATTCGACCAAATTTAAAGAATATCAATACGGTGTTTATAATTTTGGAAGTTGGCGCAGCGACCGTAACAAAAGAGAATCGAGTTGTGCGAACGTTCAAAGTTGGCGATCCAACGGCCGTTATAAATGTTAGCGTATGGGATGAACCTGGAAATTTATTGGTGCCTGGCGATATAGTGCGATTAACAAAAGGATATGCAGCCATTTGGCGACATTGTCTCACATTGTATTCGGGTAAAAATGGTGACATTCATAAAGTTGGTGAATTTTGCATGAATTTCAATGAACATTTGAATATGAGCGAACCAAATCCGAATTTAACAACGCCAGTCAATGCAACAACACAAAAAAATCAAGCCACATCATCAACAGTGCTCATCAATAATGGCACATCATCGAATAGTAGTAATAATAATAGTAACAACAGTAATAATGGAAATTCGGTGACCATAACACCAACAACATCGATACCACCATCAATCGCAGCAACCACTACATCAGGGACTTCATCATCAAATAGCGTTGCGGCAACGGTCAAAACAACCGGATCAAATCGTGGTGGTGGCGCAACCACCGGCGAACACAGCAAAACATCTACAAGTAAGACAACGGCACGAGGAGCTCGAACTAGCCGGAGATAATGTATTTTTCTTATAGGAACTAATTTTCAATCCACACATACGCAACATTTATGTATAAATAGTATTTCTTCTATTGACTTTTGCACGAATAACATATTATATTATTCAGGTTCTATTACTTGGTTTCCAAAAAAAGAAAAAAAAAAACAAGTTTATCACAATCGAAAAACATTCGTTTATTTCATTTACATTTTAAGAACAATAATAAACAGTTAGACTAGTTAGCATGTGGAGATTGGTGAGTTTCATAATTGCTACTGTTTGTACAAATTGTTTATAAACAAATTTCTGGACGGTAAGCCGAGAAAAAACTGAACGGGAATGTCATTGTCCGATAAAATGATCAATTTAGCGCAAAAGATTGTTGATATTTACAGTTGAAGAAAAAAAAATCAGCCAATACTTACAAAATGGCGGAATGTTTAAAAAAAAACACATACGCAAACATCATTTAAACAATGATTTGATTTTCGCGGCATCGGCGCCAAAAATTCGCATTCATTCACACATTCCGTAAGTTGTCTGCTTTCGATAAATTTTCAACCATTTGAAACACTCGTTCAACGCATACATCGACACACATGTGATTTGCACGCTCACATCGTAGCGCGAAGACACTTTCACATGCAAGCACACATACATGCACAAACGGAGAGCGAAAAATACGCAAAACACCTCACAGTGTGCACGGATATATTTTCGAGAGCGAACTAGTGATGTACTGCTGTACAGTGTGAATATAGCGAAGGAACCAAAATTTATTCGCAAATCGCAAGACATACATTTAACAAAATTGAAAACGAAAGAAAAAAAATATAGAAGATTATTACAAGTAAAACAGAATAGAACTGAAATTTTAATTATACACTTGAAGTAAAACGAAGATAAGATACATACAGAATTCGAAAAACCGAGCAAGAACACTCACGACGTTGCAGCATAAATTCATAGAAAAATATTTATTTTAAAAGAAAAATAAAGTGATTTTTAAACAAACGTAACTATCAAAAGTATCAAATAGAATGGATTCTTAAAATAGTAAAATCAAGTATAGAGATTTCAGTTTGAGTGTGGGATGACATTTTTTGTTTAGCGATATACTTTTTGATTGCCCAAGTGCTCGAGTTTTTTTGTTCGTTGTTTTCTTCTACTGCGCTTTTTTTGCCTCTTATATTTTCAATTTTCGCCTTACAACAACAAAATCATTGTCTGTCATTGTATTGTTGTTGCTCGTGAGTTTTCAGCAAAAACCAACGAAACAAAAAATAATAATAAAATAATAATACATGGCAAAAAGAAATCAGAAGAATTTTTCGAGAGAAAAGTGAAAGCTGTCTTCTATTGATTTTTGTCAATATTTGTTATTTGTGCTTGATGACAATTCTCAGCTGCTGATCATTTTTAAAATGTTAATTTGAGAATTTTTCACTTATTTCATTGTTGTTAACTTAGTTAACTCTTTTTTTCCTCCTTCTATCGAATATATATATATATCTCTATATAAATATATATATATTTTCCAAAAGAGCAGCAAATATGTTTTCTTCTGTGCAAGTATTCGCATGTATGAGTCTTTTACATATGTGCACATAAAAGTGTTTATATATTTTTGCATTGGAGAATAAGAAAAAAAAGCGCTGAGCTTCGAGTGTCATTGTGCAGAATGTGAAACGAGTAGAAAAAAGTCAGAATTGCTACTGAGTGTCAGGCGGGTGTATGTGTATGTGAGTGAGTGAGTGACTGAGCGTGTATGGGCATTCGGATGGATTATCATGTATGAGTTTTTGTGTTTGCTTTAATATGTGATATTGTTCGTACTCGCGCTGCTGAGTACTGCTGGGCTATTGTAATGCGAGTACAGCGATATTTGATTTAAATCGCTCGCGCGACCAAGAAAGAGGAAACGTCCGACCGACTGAGCGAAAATGAATGTGTGCCGTTGGTGAATGTGTGCGTGCCAGTGTATATGCTCCGTTCGATATATCGCCACTATGTGATGATCTATGTATGAATGTGTATGTGTGTTAGTATTTGGTTGGTGTACTGACACAGTAAAGAAATTTATCAACGTTGAGAAAGTATAAAACAAGAGATCGTACATTATTTATCTTTTAACCTATATTCGAATCGAATATACCGTTTTTCACTGTGAATTTAACGTTGTTGATATTTCGCTCTCCGAAGCGAGTTTTGTTCCGTCTGTGGTTGTTGTTAATGGTGTGTTATTGTTGTTGTTGTTTTTATACGATGTGCGTGAAAAGTACATACGAAAAAAAAATGAACTGAAGAGGCACACACAATAAGGAAAAGAAAGAGTCAAATATGCAATGAATAAGTGTGTTATACTTATTGATATGAACGTGCCATGCAACAAAAAATACGGCTAATTTACGTGAAATATCGTGGAAACGACGGAAAATTATAACGTCAAATCGTCAAAAACAATTTATTTATATAAGTCTCAAAATAATTCGAAAAAGTGTCGAACAACGACTTAGTGATTTTTTAATGTGCATGTAAATTCTGCAACGAGAGAAACATTGAATACGAAAAAAAATACACACCACATACAGACATCACAAATTGCAAGTCAAACTTGCTTGAAAGCAATCAAAAAATTTCAGTGAAAACACAAACGAAAAATGTGTGCTCATTTTTATTCCACTTGTTTCTCGGAATATGTGGCACTGTTAAAAAACCAAATATGCAAAAGTGTATCTCACAATACATATGATCTTAATTTGAATGGCTCAGCATTTGATTTAACACGATAAAAAAAAGGATTTTAATATTAATTCCGCTCTGGGTCAATATGTTTCTGCAATTGCCCGACTATCATTCACACATGGTCAATCGAATAATTATTATCCATTCTGCTTCGAATGTCACATTCATAAGATCGATAAATTGTTAAAATGTAACATAAATGAGACGATTGGGAATCATAACAAGTTTCTCATAACTATATTATATTTAATGTGACATTTGCACACCCAGCAGCGGTTGAAGCTTCACTGGTATTTTGTGATAAACTGAACAAATTGAATGATTAATTAATTGACTGTTGTTAATTTTTCGTTTTTTTCTCACTTAAATGGCACATCTAAATTATTTTACAATGGATTTCTCGCAGTTTTTAGAAAATTAATTTCATTTTTTCCTCTCTTATCAACAGAAGCAAACAAGAAAGTGCCAAAAAGCGTGATAAAAATCAAAAAACGAAACATAGTTATTAAAAGTTAAAATTAAAGAAAACAAACAACAAAAATTTTACGAAGAACCATAAAAATAAGTATTTTTTGTAACAAATAATTTAACAAAAAAAAAACAACATAAAAGCAAAATAAACAACATTCGAAGCAACAAATATACTCGAAGTCAAACGGAAGTAATACAGATACACAAATGCAAACAATGGCAGTCACAAACACTTCAAATGGACAACTAGATGCACAATTGGCGGCTCCAAAATATGGAACGCTAATCCCGAATCGAATTTTTGTTGGAGGAATCAGGTGAGTTATAGAGCAATAATCGCTCGATTTATTAAACGTATATACACACGTGATCACATTAATTTCTGATACATATGTATATTATTATTCGATGTGCGCATTTCATATCAGCGGTGACACAACAGAAGCAGAGCTCTGTCGAGTGTTTTCATCATATGGAAATGTTAAATCAACAAAAATTATTGTCGATCGTGCCGGCGTTAGTAAAGGTTATGGATTCGTAACATTTGAAACAGAGCAAGAAGCACAACGGCTACAGGCTGATGTAAGTACCAATCTTTAATCGGTTAATTTAACTCCCAAGTGTTAAATTGCTCACACCAACATTACATTTAAAATTTACAGGGTGAATGTGTAGTGCTAAGGGACAGAAAGTTAAATATAGCACCAGCGATTAAAAAACAGGTAAAACTCAATCACGTGCCATTTGTTTATGACGAAAGTCAATGCATTTCAGAACAAAATATCCTAACACACATATCTTGTGCAATTTTTTTTGGTTTGCTTGTACAAATAGGCAGTTGTTGCGACAAATGGTGCCGTATATTATGCACCAACTCAACCAGCTCCATTGAACAATATTCCGATCGATCAATTCTCGGCTGCTGCGGCCGGAGTATACTCACCAGCTGCTGTTCCAGCATTATATCCGCAAACCATACCATACCAACCATATTATCAATATTACAGTGTACCAATGGTAAGTATTCTTCCATCCGTCTAAATTTAATTGACCGTGCTTCACTATTTTTCTTCATTATTTTTTTTTAATTTTCGTTTCGCCTACGATCGAACTTTTCTAAGACATTTTTTGCATTGCTTTCAGAATATACCGGCAATATGGCCACAAAGCTATCAAGGTATGTATACCTTGAATATACGAAAATAGTCCGGCGAAAATATTCCATTTTTTCACAATCGATAATAATTCGTTTGTCATTTCTTCTCTATCTCTCTTTGAATTGCCTAGGAATCTACCCCTGTTAGAAAATAATCTTCAAATACAAAATGATAATATTTAAAACAAAAAAAAACACATATATTTATATATATTGAACAAACAAAAATGAACAAAAAAAATCACAAGAAAAAGAAAACCGAGATTGGTACTAATTGCAGACTGATTTTTTGTTTTTGATAACCTTTTGCAAGCGCTACCAAAATACAGATTTTTTGGTTATCCGTTAATTCTTAATAATTCTTACGAGAAATCTACATGTTGTTATTGAGAGAAAAAAAATCTAGAGTAAAAAAATGGAATCACACACAGACAATGAGACACACATTACACACATTACACCTTTATCGACACATATTTGAAAATGTTGAATAGAGAGCAATTTATCGAGCATAAATGAATGAAAAATCTGTAACAATATTTTAACTAAATGAAGAAAATACAACTAAACTGTAAAGAACGTACGAAATGCATGATACAAAAGATTATCCAAGATAAAATAAAACAGAAAAAATCAAATAAGCAAAGCAAACCGGTTATATAAATAGTATATATATATATATATATATATATATAACGAAAAATTTGATGAGCAAAAAAAGTGAATCACATTCTCTCTATGTGTATTGTTGTCGAATTGTGTCGCGATCAATCGCATCTTGTTATCGTATATCGAATAAATATTTAAAAAAAATAATAATATTCATGTACACATGTTTATAAAAAAAAAAAATTTCGTTTATGTCCAGTGAAAATCGCTCAATTGCATTGAGGATATGCGCGCGCAAAATTTTTTCAAATTACACGTTCATCATCAATTGAAATTGTATAAAATGAACCGTTGTAAAATTGTTACTATATGTATAATTTTGACTTGTAATTAAAAAAAAAAGGATTTAAATAAAAATTGTTGATTAAAACAGTCGAAACCGTAAAACTGAACAAAACAAATACCGGAAGCCAATACTCGAGAAAAAATGAGTACGAAGATGAAAAATAAAATGTATTAAGCCAGAAAACACAACCAGGAATAAACACAAAACACATTCACACACATGAACACACACCGAAACTACTTAATAACAACAACAAAAAAAAAAAAATAACGAGTAATACACATTTATATATAAAAAATACATTTATCAAATAATGACCTAGCAATGAGAGTAATATGTCAAGAAAATGGCAAGACGTGAAAAATAATAAATAACAAAGAATAATGAAATGATGATAAAAAAAATTTAGGAACAGTATATTTATTCGACTATTATAACTATTTAGAAATTATTCAAAATATTTATTGAATACAGTGACAAAAAAAAATCGAACATATTAGGTATATGAAGTAAAAGATATATACATACACACACAAGCACACACAAACACATACATAAAAACATTAAATAAAATAAAATAATTAGGCTTAACGAATGATAAAAAAATAAAACAAAATACAAACGAACAATATATTGAAATGTTACAAAGATATAAATATTTTATTTGAGATACACAAACAAACACAGCAACAACAACAAAAAATTTAAATAAAGTAAACATCAACCAGAAATAGCAATAAGAGAACAATACGCTGGGAAAATGTAGCAACAGATAACTTCGAAGTGCATGCGTGCGAAAGTTTCGAAGAATGGATCAATAATTGATCTTGAAAATGTATAGAATACAATTCCGTCATTCGATCCATTTCTGCGGATGCACATGCACGCACCAAAAACATACAAAACCATTTCACACAAAAAAAAAATGTAAACTAAATTTACACGATATGTAAATTAACCCAAACGAAATGAAGATAATGAGAAAAAAAGGATGTCAAGTACTAAAGCGATAATAATTTAAACAACACATTGAAAATAAAAAGCATTAATCGTGTTATCACTGAATAGATGGAAACAGAATATTATATTATTACTAGATGTATAATATATTCGTAAAACAAACAACAACTAAATTAGGAAAAACAATAATTTATTATTAGATTTAACGAATGAAACTATAATTTATAGTAATATTAATCAATAATTTGCAAATATGTAAACTAAATGGCGGAAAGAATGAATAGAGAACACAGCGTACGTGTGCATAATTATGGAAGAAATTGTGGAGAAAATTTAATTAAATATGGATTAAACTTCTGGAATCGCATTCAAAACGAAAAAAAAAACTTTATTGTTCAATGTCGATAACATAAACGTGATTCGGTACTGTGTTAAGAGAAAAGAAACGAACAGATGACAGCTAAATTACAAACTATTTATTGTTGTGAACATTTTTTTTTTCATCGAGAGATCGAAACAAACCAAATTTTTGTTTATATTGGAAGTAGATTGATGCTTCAATTTTATTTTAAAGACAAGAAAAAAAATTTCTCTTTTCTCTACATTTTTCCGACTGAATTTTTTCTCGAAAAGTCAAGATTTTTTTTCGTGAAAAGACCTTGATTTTTTGGCGAAAATGTCGGAATAATCGTGAATTTGGTAGAAAATTTTAAAATGATGTCGAAATCTTGACAAATAATTTTCGGTATATACGTAACGAATTTTCTTTTTTTTTTAAACAAGAATTCGCAAGAATGTTTGGTTCTTTTCGTTTTCATTATTTAAAAACAACCGATTTATTCCATCTAAAATTTATTGAAAAAAAAAAAAAAAAAATAATCGACGATATAAATTGAAAAGTGATTTTGAATTGTAAAAAAAAAATGTGTTTGAATTTAAGTGAAGGAAAATTGTCAAATGCCAATTTCGGTGTTGTTAATGTTCGAAAATTCGTTGAACAAATTTTTGTTATTATTTATTATTTATAATTCCACAATACGTAAAGTTTTATTTTTTAACAAGAAATGTTATCAAATTGTTCGATGAATGGTGAGAACAGAATTAACATCGCAGACATAAACATACAGACAAAAAGAAAAACTGATTTAGATGTAATATAATTATTTATTAACGTTATATATTTAAATCGAAAACAAAAAAAAAATCGAAACGAAATAACTTTATTATTGCCAAAAAAGCAAATTAAAACAAACTAAACAAAAAAAAAAAAAAATGAAACAGGCCTTGTACCACAACATGTCGCAGACTGTGGTTTTATCATGTAGATGAGTAAATGAAAATACAATAAATCGATACTAAAAAAAATGCATTGCTGCGACGATAAAGAAACGAAAACAAAACAAAAACTAATCGAAACCTCTGTTGAGATTACCTTATCTTGTGATGGAAAGAAGGTCTTTAATCAATCTCTTTTATTGTTGTTGTTATTTCTCTTCATGTTGCAAAACATGAAAAGATAGATTGTAACTTGTGCATAATTCTCATTCGTGGATTGCGGACGATGAAACAACCAATTGTTCTATCTCTGATTCTCTCGCACACACTGTTTATTCTTGTGCAATGTCAATCGTACAAATGCTTCTACGACGTGGAAAAAAATATGCCTATAAAAAACCTCCATCCAACGAAAGCGACACATAATTATTACCTCAGATGAGATTGATTCATGAAGTCAAACACTTCTTTTCTTTGATTGAACAAAACTTCTTTTCAGCTACAAGAAGGCGCACATATACATACTGCTTCAATTGCTGATCAAACACGATTTCAGCTATGTCTCCCTTCAACTATCCATTGAAATTTCTCTTGAAAATATAAAATTTATCTTTTTTTTATAATTTACGTTTGCATCAACAGTCAAACAAAAAAAAATCCTTCCCATTTAATACGCCACTTTACTTCAAGTAAAATCGTAACAAATTGTCATATGCTCGTATTATAAAGCCTGTCCTGCACAAAGACATACCACTTGTTCACACTCTCATCCAACATTTCCACCTCTATCTCATTAGCATCACAAGATAAAATGAATGATACACAAAGATACATGTTCTGTGCCAGACAGATAAGAAACAAAAATATAAACACTTAACAAAGCAAATGATGCAAAAATAAAAAAGAAAATATTAAAAAAAAAAACACTAAAAAAATTGGTGATATTTTTTGGAAATAATTTATATAAACGAACCTGTAAACTTATATTGGCGTAGAATAAGTAAGTAATCCACAATAAAAAGAAAAATAAAGAAAATGATAAAAATAAAATAAATTTCAAATCTACAATTATATATATTATATATACATATACATAATAATAACGATAGTTATAATTGAAGAGATGAATCAATAAGTGATGGTGAACATAAAATACAATTGATAATCGATCAATAGATAAAAACGCTAAGTACATATAGCCAGAGTAAATTGGTTCGGCGATCGATTTTGAATGACACCACTCTCTTAAATACCATTCATTGTCATGTGAATGAGCATTTGTTTTCATTTTCTTACGGGTGACGCTATTCGAAGTCTCTCACCGATTTTTTTTCTTCTTCATTTTTTTCTTTCTGAACTATTTCAATTAGCTTAACTGAATCTAATATCATGTGCTATAAATAAACTAATTGATAAATTATTAGTTTATCGAATAAATCACACACAGATACATTGAAAATGGGTGAACAAGATTTTAGTAAAAATACAAGTTAACTTGATGAAAGGAATAAAAATCAATTTTATCTGAATGAGAACGATTCATGAATATTACTTGCTAAACATAATTAATAAAGAAGAACAAAATGAGCAAAAACAATACACAAACACACATTAAAAAAAATCAATTAAATGATCATATTGCTACGAAGACGTCTATTTGTTGACTGAATGTAGCATTGAAATCAATTTTTCATTTTTCGATAACAAAGCGGCTTCAACCATTTTCACAATAAACGGCAAACCAAATGTGAATAATTACAACAAACATCCTAGAACGTCCACGTCGTGTATTTTGTCGCAATAAAGTTATTAAAAACAAGAGCACCAAACGAATGGTAGTGTTCGTTATTGTAAAACTGTAGTTTGAAAGAATGTCATATTCATACACATGCACCCGATTTTATCTATCTCTCTTTCTCTCTGACTTTCCTGAAAGTTACAGATATCATATTTTTGTGTAAAAATTGAGCAAACCAAACATAATTTACAAAAAAATGATTGAATTTTTGTTGTTGTTGAATTTCATGAAATGGACCGATTTGGTGCATCCATTTCGCACAAAACATCCATGCCAAAAATAATGATTAAATCAATAGATATTTGGATAAAGAGAATGATGTCAGTGGAAATCGAATTTATGTGTCCCTGAATGAACACTGAAAGCATCCATTTCGTTCAAGTCGATCATATTCACATCCCGTATAAATTCTAAACACGAATCCATTG